CCTGAACTACTCAACAAATTCAGAACTCTACCAACAGTATATCGATGTTTTCCTAAATCCCCTATATTTGCCATTTTCCTTTCTTTTCAACTTTACAAATCAGACAGATTGTGTGGTATAATTTCAGAGTAACTTTCATTTGTATTTCTTTAATTATTAGTGATGGAACATTTTTTCCTTATGGATATTAATTGCTTGAATTCTTACTTTGAAAAATGCCCATTGATATATGTTCACCATTGGTCAATTAGGAAATGGATCTTATTCTTATAAATCTGGATCAGTTCCCTATATATCTTAGAAATGACAATTTCAAGACAGAACCATCCTGTGGAAAAAAAAAAATTCCCAGTTGTATGTCCCTTCTAGTTTTAACTTCATTGGTTTGCTTGGGTAAAAATTTTATAATTTTACATAAACAAAATGACTATTGTATGTTCTGTGATTTTTCCTATTTTTTGGTCATGAACTTTTCCCCTAACCATAGATAGATTCAAAAGGTAATTTCTTCCTTGTTCCTCTAATTTGCCTATGAAGTAACCTTTTATATCTAAGTTATTTATAGCTTATTATGTAACATGAAGTGAGATGTTAGTCTGAACCAGGGGTTTTAAACCTGGGATATTGGGCTCCATGGATAGATTCCATAGTTCTATTAACTTGGAAGGGCAAAAAAATCTTTATTTTCACTTCCGTTTGATTTTCTTTGTAATCTTAAGCATTTTATTATATCTCTTTAAAAAGCATTATTTTGAAAAGGGGGTCACAAACTCCACTAGGTTGCAAAACAAGTCACTGATACAACCAAAATTAAGAACCTCTAGTGTAAACCTAATTCCTGTCAGACTGCCCTCTACCATGCCACAGAAATCTCTTCACCCTGGAAGGTGACTCCACCTCTGTACCCTACGCAATGGAAGCATCTTCTGCTCTTATGGTCTCTTCCTCTGATTGCCTAGTTTCTTCCAGAATCTCTAATTTAAGGAGGCCAACCTTAACTTCATACCTTTCTAGGCTCACTAATGACACTCGAGAATTTCTCTACCATTCCCCTTACCAGGTAATTTCATCTCTTCCTTTTTAGCTTCCTTTTATGTGTTCCCTCTCATAAAGTGATCTCCTTGAGGGCAGAGACTGTTTTTCTGCTTGTATTTTTATTTCCTGTTTTTAGCACAGTATCTGGCACATAGTAAACAAAGTAATTTATTTAGCCAGGGCGGCATAGAAAAAAATATTTGTACCTGGGTCCTCAAGATCTGGCAGTGCTAAGCATGCTGCCTGAGACAGACTAATAGAGCCGAGTCTACATAATGCCTGAACATAGCAAAACAAGTTCCCAGAAAATTAGCAACTTGATACATATCTCATTGTAGCTTTATCTGAAATGAACTTCATTTAATCACAGAAGCATGGAAAATGTGAAGAAAAAAAAGTTGGGGTTCTTATAGAAACCTCAAACTATCACTCTTTTGAGGAAATCACCAAAATGATCTTCTTTTAAAAAAGAAATGGTTCGAATAAAGTGAATTAAGAACTCTTCCAGTATCTTTCATCATTATTTTCCTTGAAAGGCAAAGCAGAAAATAATCTTTACTTGGTACTTGAACAGGTTTTCTCACTGACCTTAATATCTGTAAATGTTTTATTTGGAAATATGATACAGAAATGCTACCACTGAGGAGACTTCCAATAAAAGAAATGTCTTTCTAGACCTATTTACCAGACACATGAAGAGTACTTCCACCCAGTTCTTTGCTCAGAGGGCAGCTCATCTTGCCCGTTTCATCATGAACCATTTTATATTGTTACCCTCTGTGTAGCTAATTTGTGTAAAGCCAGAACAAGATAAAAAAATATATATTTTAATGAATTTTTTAAATTGTGCATATTTTCAACAGGGTAGAATAATAGCATCATGACAACAGGAGAGGGGGTATAGTATGGATAGGGCAAGTTTGCAGAGGGAATAGTAGCTATCACTATACTTTACTCTAGAAAGCTCATTTTATTTAAAAATGATTTTGGTGAGGGAGACCTTCTGAATTCAATAGTTCAGCTAGCTTTGCACAATTAAAAAAATAGTTACCAATTGTACTTCTGACACCATTCCATAAATGCATGTGTATGTATACGTGCATATATACATATGTGTATATATATTTATGTAGACATATGCATGTATAAACATATGCCAAATATCCAGGTAACTGAGCAAGAACAAGGCTGAAATGCCACAAAATCATCCCTTCTATTAGATAATCAACTCAAAGTTGGTGCCATAGCAATGGTGGCTCAGTAACCATCACCGTACAAAGATAATTAATACCTTAATATTGCCTCTTGTGAGTACAAGATAGCATGAAATAGTAGTAAGAACCCTGGTCTGAGAGACAGAGAGATAGGGCTCTCCCACTGATCCGCTAAGCGTGTGGCCTCAAGCGAGACACTTTCTCTCTCTGGGACTTAATAAATATTTGCTGAATGAATGAATGAGAAAAATAAATATTTTAAAATAATTAAAAAGGTCTCTTCTGATCATGCTGGGCACTGTATTATTTATTTACTAAGTGCTCTTCATTGAGTGGTAGGTATGAGCTCTTAATAAATTTGTAAGGTATGATTTCATTGAAGTATTTCTTTTGACAGAGAGATTTGGAAAATTTAAATGGATCTATTTTACTTCGATTTCTCATTAATAGAAAAGCAAAAAAAATTTAATAGTAATAATTATAAAATATGTTTAAATTTTCCTCGGGAGTGTCTTTGACCCATGTGAGCATGTTACTTATTTTAAAATATGCTTGTGATTTCATGAAATATTTATAAATGCATGTAAGTGGCAAAAAACAGTAAGAATATGGAAATATTTTGAGGGCACGGATCATCTTTGCTTATGAAAACTCTACCTTTAAAGTAGATTATAATTATGAAATTATGTTTATGGTAAACAACCATGCTAGAGAGGCTGTGTTCCATAGTAGATAAGAGCATAGGACTTTGAATTAGGAAGATCTGATTACCTCTGAAACAAACTATGACCAGAGACAAATGGCTTAACTGTTTTGAGGTTCAGCCGTCCTTCTAAGACTTAACTGTTAGGTGGCAATCTGTGTTAGGTCCCTGACAAAGCTCTCCACACAAACATGTTGGAACATGATGGTGTTAAGATAAAATTTCATGCTGTACTTAATATTATTGTGGGCAGTTAGGTGATACAGTAGATGGAGTACCAGTCCTGAAGTCAAAACGATTCATTGTCAGTGCAAATCTGGCCTCAGACACCTATTAGCTTTGCGACCCTGGGTAAGTCACTTAACCCTGTTTGTCTCAGTGCCTCATCTGTAAAATGAACTGGAGAAGGAAATGGCAAACCACTCTAGTATCTTTGCCAAGAAAACTACAAATGGGGTCATAGAGTCAGACACAACTAAAACAACTGAACAACAACCACAACTAAACCTTGCTAGCTTCAAATATTAACCCAATTCATACAGTAACAAAGAGGTTTCATATAACACTTGAGACATTGTTTTATTCTTCCATCATATCTACATTACAATAGCACCTACGTGGAGTTACTAGAGTAATAGTTAATTAGTATTTAAATACACATTGCCAAGCCAAAGATAAGCCTACAGATTTCCACAATGTAATCTACAGCTGTTTTTCTAAGAACCACAAGTAAAACAATGAGTCCCATAGTCTCTATAAGAAGCACCACAGTACTAATAAACCAGATGGCTACAATCTGCTTTGTTTAACAGATGATTTTTAAAAATCAATCTAGGTTTTTGGTTGGTTGTTTTTTATATACCTGGCAAGAAAGTGTTTCAGCCTTAGGTTGGAGAAAGACTCACTCAAGCTAATTTGAGGGATTGCTCAGGCTCAAGGGAGAGAGGCTAAAGAAGGGCACCCCTTCAAGCTATCTTGTATATGACCTTCAAAAGGCACCTCTTTTATGAAAACCTTTCCTGTAACACCTTTGTTTTTTAAAACAGATGAAAAGACCCAGGACTGTGAAAGATAAATGAAAATATTTGGGAATCTATTAATATTGAAGGGAGTGGGAGGAAAGTGGGCAAAAAGAGCCAGGAGCAATAAGAAGAAGTGGGGAAGTTCAGAGAAAAACTAAAATGGAGATCAGGAAGAATTCAGTTCAGAGATGATTCCAACAGATTGCCGGAGGTGGCATGAAGAGATACTGCAAACAAATGAATATTAGCCTTTTTTTCTCCTTCCTATCTTTTCTTCTCTCCCTGCCCCCCAAATATTTTAAAGTACCTGAAGAATACCATTAGTCCAAGTTTGAAGGGAAAAGAAAGTTTCTTTATTTAGGAAGTAATCCAGAGCTCTCTTCATCCTTCTCTATCTGCACCTCCACCCCAACCCTCCTCTTTCCATCAGGTGCATTCACTGATAAAATTGCTAACCCTGTAAGAAAGGAAAGAAAGATCCTCATTGATTGAATTCATCATTATCCTAAATATGTGGTTAACTTGTTTCCAGAGACAGAGAGAGAGAATGAGAGAGGTAGAGAGCAATTAAGAGAAAAAGGAAGAAAAAGGAATGAGAGAGGTAGAGAAAGACAAAGAGTCAGAAGAGAAGAGGAGAGGAAAGGAGAGGAGAGAAAGAAAAAAATAGTGACACTGCTGTTTTCCTTTCTGTAGGTAAAACTTAGCACTGCTGTGGCTTCCCTGGCCTCCTGACGCAGCATTCTTTCCAAAATGTCATTTCTTAAAAATCTACAAGCTCCATTTTGCAGGCACACACACTTCGCCAAATTCCAAGTGCCCCTAGAAAACATGTTATTATATTAATAGAAAAAGTGTTGTTCTGACAGAAGGAGCTGGTTGGGGGAGGAAGAGAAAGAGAGCTCTATATTTTGATATTCAAATAGGGAAATGCTGTAGAAAAGAAAGCTTCTAGCTCATTATCAAGGCCAGTCCCTTGATAATCAGCAGCTACAAAAGGCTCCATGTAAAATAAGCAGAAATACTTACGCATATCACCAAAGGCACCTTTTGTCACTTTCGTGGCCCTTAATACATTCACTGTGAACTTGTGAGAATACTGATGCTCCACCTGAAAATCAAAGACATCAAATTGATAAGTAAAATCTCCCCCAAAGAAACTACAAATTGATTTCTTTTCTTTTTTCTATTAGATCCAAATAAAAAGGCATCCAATTCAGAGAGAGCTTAGAACACTTACCAGAAACATTGTTGTTCTATCCTTATGATGCTGCTCTTTAACCACTCTTCCACCTACCCCCCTGGAAATTTCACTGGAAGTTAATATCACGCTCTAAAATATCTCTACAGCTTTACTGCTAGCTAAGATAAACTGCCAAGTTTTCAAAGAAAGAAATGTAAATCACTGTTCCATCTCTCTAGGCATATTATGGGTACTTTCATAATGATCTGAAAAGTAGCCCAGTCAGGTAAAAGGAAAGAAATCATAGCTAAGTAAAAGGGGATGGGAGGGTGGTAATCTTCTATGCAGAAGATATCCCAATTTAACTTTTGTCAGTTTTCTGACCATTAAATCAGGGGATCTTAACCTTTTCTTAAAGAGCTACTCTTTGACAGTCTGGTGAAGCCTTTCTCAGGATAATGTTTTTAAGTTAATAAAATAGAGTACATGAGGTTACAGAAGAAACCAATTACATAAATTTTTTTAAGTTCAGAGATGTCAGGTTAAGAACTTCTGCACTAAATGAGCTAATATCTATTATATCTAAAGTTCCTCATTTATTTAGTTTGAACACTGCATGATGCCTTAAAAGTCAGGAAACGCTAGGTTCAAATCCTACTTCTGATACATATTGACTGGGCTGACCAAGGCTCAAGTTACTTAACTTTTTAGTGCAACAGGTCATCCTCAAAAATGATAAATTATCGATGAGTTGTTAATCTGCAGTTCACCTATACAACAAACTCAATGATGCTGAGCACAAACAAAACAAACAAGAAATAAAAAAGCTGCAGCCAAAATAAATTGGGGTGGGGGGAATCATTTACATGGTGCCTACTATGTGCCAGGCACTATGCTAAGTGCTTTATAAGCATTACCTCATTTCATCCTCACAACACCTCTATGAGATAGTTGCTTTTATTATCTCCGTTTTCAGATGAGGTAACTGAGGCAAATAGAGGTTGAATAACTTGCCCATGTCACACAATTAGTTGAGTTTCTGAAGTCAGATTTAAATTCAAGTGTTCTTGACTCCTGGCCTAGCACTCTAATCAACGTGTCACTTAGATGTCAGAAACTGTGTTTACTAAAGCCCTGAAGTTGAAATGCAACAAAGTATGGATTGACTCTCTCCTGCCTGCGCTAATTTTGGCCTAACAATTAACACCAAGAAAACACAGGTGCCAGCACCACACCATCCATATGTGGAACCGTCAGTTACAGCAAATGGAGAAATTTTGAATGCTGCAGGTAAGTTCATTTACCTTGCAATATACTTTCCAGGGATTGATGTACACACTGCCACAGCTAGCTCAGTGTTTAGAAGTCTCCGAAGGAAAGTGTGGGAGACAAGAGGTATTAAACTGTCTACCAAACTAAAGCTGCACAGACCTGTTGTGCTGAGTTCATTGTTGTATGCCTGTGAAATCTGGAGATTCTACTAATATCATGCCAGGAAACTGAATTGCTTTTATTTGAATTGTTTAGGAAGATTCTGAAGATCACCTGGCAAGACAATGTACCAGACACTAAGGCCCTTTCTAGAGCTAAATTGCCAAGCATTAAAACTCTGCTACAAAGAGTACAACTCCTATGGGCTGGCCACATAGTGTGAATGCCAAACATAATTTGTCTAAAAGACTATTTTACAGAACACTCACATGAGTCAAGCACTCACAAGAAGGTCAGAAGAAGCAATACAAAGACATTGTCAAGGTCCCTCTAAAGAACTTTGGAATCCATTGTGCGCCATGGGAGACACTGGCAAAGGACCTCCCCGTGTGGGATGGCCACAACAAAGAAGGTGTTACGGTCTATGAGCAAAGCAGTCCTGCAATAGCTCAAAAGAAACATGAAATGCACAAATTTTGAGACATCTCCACTCCAAATGATCATGGTGGACTATTTGTGCCTGACTTGTGGTAGAGCTTTGTACTGGTCGGACCAGTCACAATCAGACACACTCCACCTTGACTCCAACATAGTGATGTCATTTTGATCCTCCCGAAGAGCAAAGAACAACCAACCAAGTAACACTAAAGTTCTTGCATCTTCCTCACAAGACTATACCTTTATTCAAGTTCTGTCTATTCATATTTAATACAATGTTTAAGTGGTCTGTATATCTGGGTTCCAAGCCCAGAAGCAGATCAGAAGCAGCAAACAAAAATGAGAAATGTGACTGCCATATACACATATAAAAACAACAGCACAAAAAGACAATGAGTGACTGCTTACAAAGTAAAGATAAAAAAATTCTAATATTATTGGAAGACCATGGTGTATTAGTCCTCGAGTGAAGGAAATAATCATTTATTTAGCACCTAACACATGCCATGCACTATGCTAAGAGCTTTACAAATATTACCTCATTTAATCCTCACAACAACCCAGTGAGATAGTTGCTGTTATTATTCCCATTTTACACCTGAGGAAACTGAGGCAAATAGAAGTGAAGTGACTTGCCTTTATTACACAACTAATAAAGTAGTTGGGACCATACTTGAAATCAGGTCTTCCTGACTCCAGGTCCAGTGCTCTATTTATTGTACCACCAGAGGAGCCATGGTGCCCCACAAGCATCCCCATAAAACTCTAAAAATGTTTCAGAAGAAACACTGATAAAGAAAACTAAAGAGAATCAACTATAAAATATTTCACACAACCCCCACCTCGAAGTGTCCAGGGCAGGGCAGGCCTGGAGCTCTCGTTGGAGAAAAAGATAAGCATCCTTCTGGAGGCTACAGGCAGTCTGCACTCAACCCAGCATGCAGGTGACCTGGCCCCAAATTACTGCAGGACACATGACTAGACAATTATTGTCTAAAGAAATACCTAGTCTTAGACATCTCACTTAAGACCAAGCATAATTTACCCAAACCATCCAGGAGTATAGGAGGAGAGTTTTATCCTAGCACAAGCCCCAAAATCAGATATAAGATATAAGGAAACAGAAGAAAAGGGCAAATACAATAAATATCTTGAATTTATAGTCACTTAAAGAGTAACCCCAGAAAAAGAGAATAATTCCACAAATCCCAGTAGGGCCTCACAGAAGAGAGTGCCCTGGCCATGATGACTACAAGAATACCTTTAAGCAATGAAATAAGAAATACAAATTGAAATAGCTAGGTGAAACAAATGATAAGGAGAATTAATACCTTAGCCTATGGTACCCCAAAATTGAGTGGCCTGATAATTAATCAAAAACAATGACTCAATAAGACCAAGAAAATATTAGAATAAAAATGAAATAAAATTGAATAAAATGTAAGATAGCTGATATCAAAAACAACTAAGCTATATTACAGGTCAAAAAGAAATAACCTATGAATCATCAGTCTATCTCAAAAGCATGTGAAAGGAAAGAAAGGCTTAAACAATGTATGAACTTGTAACTTTAATATATATGTAACTATATTCCAATATAATTGGTTTTTTTTAATCCTATGTATTTTATTTTATGCATTTAAAAACACCATTCTAAGAAAAGGGCTTCACCAGATTGCCGAAGGAAACTAGGACACAAAAAAGGTTAAAATTCTATGTTGTTTTAAAGGAAACATTAATTTTCAAAGAGAGATAGATTTTAAAACTCAATTTCCCTCAATACAGGTAGATCTAAACATATAACAAAAAGAAACAAGAAAGAGGTTGGGATTTGATTAGAATTTTAGGAAAATTAGGGATGATAGAACTCTGGTAATTACTGAATGCAAAACGAATAGGAGTTCACTTATTTCTCACTCACTGATTATCTCCAACTAATCCTGTGTATATCTTGTTTGCACAATTATTTTCATGTTGTCTCCCTCTTTCAATTGGACTACGAGTTCTTCTAGAGCAGGGACTGTCTTTTGCCATTCTTTTTATCCATAGCACTTTGGGCAATGCATATTACATAGTAGATGCTTAAAAAGATTTTTGATTGACTGTGCATGGCATCTTTACAAAACTGAACATGTAATATTGGGGCATAAGTACTTTACCAAAAAGAAAGAAAAGCAGAAATACTAAGCACACAATTTACCAACCACAATGCAATATAATTTTTTTCAATAAAGAAATCTTATTTGTTTTACTATGCATATGGAAATTCACATTTTATTTGGTATTTGCTAGTTCAGAATAATTTTTTTTTTAATTCTAAAGATCGGACTTAAGAACTCTAAAAGCAAAGAAGTCTGGGGCATCTCAGTAAGTCCTGAGGGCATCATTTTATTTCATGACAGGATAATAAATGTTTATAATAATGTCCCTGAGTCATCAAGAAAAGGCTAAATGGTATTCCACATGTTGCATTTATGAAGAAAGAGAAATGCATGATTCATTTAAGACAGCATACAAAAGGGAGCTGAAAGGGGATGGGAGAGGTACATCATATAAGGGCCTGGTTTTGAAGTCCAGAGAAAATCAGAAATAAGGTCCAGAAGGAATGAAAGTAGACTGGCCTGGACCCTATCACACAATGGAGGTTCTAAAAGGAAACAGAAAGAGAGAAGGGGGATAAATCTTGCTGAGGGATGTCCTGGGGTGAGTAGGCTGCAGGGGTGATATTCTGCTCCAGGTACTAACCAGAAGTTCCAGGATGAGCTAGCAATTAAGGGGGTGTGGTTTTGAAATCCAGAAAAAGTTAAGAACAGGACCAGGAAAGGAATGAAGGCTGGTGGGCTTGAATCCCTCCACACAATGGACTCTCTAGGAATAACTTACCAATTGGAAGAGGGGGAAAAGGGGATGTCTTACAGAGGTATATATCAGACTGAGTAAAAACATACATATCATAAGAAAAATCATGATTCTATCCAGTTATGTCATATGAAAGCCAAGTTCCATCAAATGAACCATATATTTAAAAAAGAAAGTTATTTCCATTTCCACTTAAAGAA